AGTGAGTGCATGGTTACTTTCATCTTACATATAGATATGAAGTATATAATATAAATTATGTGCTATGTGTGCATATTATTTGTGTTCCAGATATCTATGCTGGATGAACAATTTATACATGTTTTAAATGATTTAAATTGTATATGTATTTTGTATCTACGAAAATATTGGGTAAAACATGGGTAGATGAAATAGTTGATGTGTGATAAAATGATGAGAGGCTTCGATGTTTACGATGATCCAGTCATCTAGCGGAGTATAGATGATGACCACAAACTATTATAGACAGTCTAGCGGAACGCTAACAAACTCGCAACATGTGGTGTTTATTTTGAACTACGTGTTCACCATGTGTACTCCATTCCCCTCATGGTTGCCTTATTTGACATGTATTGATGAGGAATACCCTAAGCAATGTTGTCCACCCCAATGAAAATCCTTAGGCTAGGTCCCTTATAGTTGATGCTTTAGGGACGTAAGGTGAGGATAACAGGAATATGTAATCGGGTTGAATGATTTGACGAAATTAATGAACTTAGTTATTGTGGATTGAAAACCCTATGTGCTCACCAGACTCCCAAGCCTGACCCACTCAGTTTATTGCATTAAAGGTAATGGCAAGAGAGCACGGGAGTGATGATCTGATGAGAGATCAATGGATTATAAGCCACTAGAATAAATAGATGTTGCAAGACCTATGTTGTTTCTATTTTTTCTTTTGATTTGTATTGACAATGACATCCTGAGGTTTTTAATATAATGAAAATACATTTCTTCGTAAATGATTTGATAAATTATTTATCATATTTTTGGGAACAAAATCCGCATCATTTTTCTTTAAAGTATACTCTGATTTTCAAATAAAGCATAAACAAATTGGTATTTTCTGGCCATGAACTTAGGGATGTCACAAAAGGCACTCCCGAGAAGTCCTTCGGAACACATTGGAATACTCTGAACAATCGACACATCTTCGATCATCCTTTTTCTCTCCTCTATGGTATCCAATACATAATCCACAAAAGCAAAACAACCTTGCTGAAGGTACCTCCTAGCTCTCGCAGCTGAACAGAGAGTTGGCCCTCGTTGAGCACCCTTACCACAGATAAGTAATTCTCCCCCGTTTATGTTTTGAACCTGAACTAACTGGTGGTCATAGACAATCATTTACCCATTATGGCTCAACTAATCCATCCTTACGATAATCTCACGCAAAGGGATAAGAACCAAATCAATCATATACTATGCGTCAAATAACTCCATCACACAACCTTGATGAACCTTTAATACTTGCACTGGATGATCGCCTGCGGTTTCTTCATCTAATAGATACTCAAGATCCAATGGAGCGTCACCAAACCTCTTGTTGAGCGCAAGAGGTACAAACGATCGGGTGACACCCAAATAAAAAAGAATTAAAACTGGAACACCGTTCACTAGGAACATCCCTATATAACATAATAAGTATAAACATCAAAGTTGTAAAATCCATAAAAATCATGAAAATTTAAATTTTTAAGAACCAAACCAAAATCACAAACTGTTTACAACATCGTTTTCAAAACATGTTCTATATCAGAGTTTCCCAAAATCATAAGTCTGAAACATAAAGGTGTGTTTGGTCACGCCTTCGCCTTCCCGAGATCCTCTAAAGTACCTGGAACATAACCCAAAACTGTAATCCAATGCTTAGTGAGTTCCCCTAAAGTACCAACACAACACATAATAACAACAACATCAAACATCATGCACACAGAGCCTTCAGTCTAACTGGAATGCCCCACTGGCCTACAGTTTATCTGGTACACTCACAGAACCTTCAGCATGACTGGTACGCCTCACCTGGCCTTCAGCCTATCTGGAATGTTCTACGGGCCTTCGGCCTGACAGTCTATCCATGACGCCCTGGGTCTCTTGGCCTTCGGCAAAAAGCAGGATCGCCTCAACCCACATACCATCACATATCAACATAAACCATATCAATCCCTAGCTAGCATATATAGATAGTCATGTAGATCAAATAGATCACTAAGCTTAGCATCATCCTACATACTAGGATACAGATCTAACAGATCACTACAATATACAATCATGCGATAAAACTTACATCCATACTTTCCTCAAGAGTCGTCCTGATTCCCCTGAGTGACTCCCTTATTACCAAACACTCGACATTCTTGCTAAAGAATGCATATGTCAAGTTATCATGCTTCATAGGTTCTCCTAGGATTCACTTTCCACCACTCCCCCTCCATCAACTACAGAAGAAACCCCCACTAACACCCGCTAACTACCTTACAAATATAATTACATGCAGCATGAACATAGATATACTTCTAGAACTGAATGCTTATTGAAATAACTCATCCTCTTTGTTTTTGGGCTTCAAGCGGCTACAAACTCAAGATTTTACGCCCCTGTTTTCCTAAAGATGAAATTATGGTTCAATTTATAAAAATCCGCTACCGACTTATTTTGCGGCGCGACTATTTATTTTCAGCTCGATGTAAAAATATCATCATATATCTTTGAAATCTTCTCTAGTTTTGGAAATGTCTTCAATTAAATCTTGTTTAGACTTCAAGCTACACATTTTGTTCTAGAATATGTTTTGATATATTTGGTTTAATTATCTAGTCCTTTTAATATGCAAAATATAACATTTTAGTATTAAATATCTATAAAAGTGTGCAAAAAGTATCAAATATATCCCATAAAATATGTATAATTTACAACATAAGAAGTTAAGCAAGATTAACCATGCAAATATATATATATATATATATATATATATATATATATATATATATATATATATATATATATCACTCGTATTAGTTTAATCTATCAATATAGTGATCATATTAGTCCATACTATCAAAATTTAATATGTTATTTTGTCTTTATAAGTTTTGAATATATATATATATATATATATATATATATATATATATATATATATATATATATATATATATATATATATATATATATATATATATATTCAAGATCTTTTATGCACCTTTAAAACATACATATATAAGAACTTTTGTTAAAAAAATATTCAACAAAAATTGTGTATACATGAAATGTGCATATATATATGTATATCATGTACTGCATAATTGTACAACACAAATATACAATTATTCATAGTATATATATATATATATATATATATATATATATATATATATATATATATATATATATATATATATATATATTATATATATATATATAGTTTTAATAAAAATTCATATATATTTACGTTTTAGAGGTGAAACTTATATCCGGTAATAAATAACATCTACTTCCATTTCTTCCTATCAGAGCATCATGCATTAACATTGTACTTCAGAATATCCAATCATTTATAGCATTGTACTTTGAAATATATATATATATATATATATATATATATATATATATATATTATTATATATATATATGACACTAAGAATTATAAATGGGTGGGTTTTTAAAAGTACAATTTTATAATAGAAGTAATGAAAAGTATATGGTTATAATAAACAATTAAATGAATGTTAAAAAAAAAATATGTTGTTATAATAAACAAATATATGAAAGTATGTTGAACCATTTCCTTCTTTTACTTTGTTAATCACATCTGAATTAAATTTCGATTTATTTTACTCGTTGCGAAACTGAGAAAACGCCCTCATTGAGAATGAAAGCAAGTTCTACAATACTTACCAAAGATGATAAAAGTTTACACTTACAAAGAATTTTGATAGTTTTTAATAGTTTATTTAGTGTTTGAATCCATGTAGTATACATTTATACACCACTACTATTTATTTGTAGAGTTTAATCTGGTTGTTTAAAAACCATCTTCAGTTAGTTAGTTAGTTTTTAGATGGCCTTATGAAACTATTGTATTGTATATAGAAATAACTAGAACTAAAATTCTTGTATATAGTTATTCCCCGGTAAATACATGTCGTACCGTCCTATATGGCAATTTGAGAATTATAAATTTTATTAAGAAACAAAATCAATGAAGATACATCTTACTATCTTAGGAGTTTTATTATTATCATGGTCTTTCACATTAATAAGTAAATCACTATCAAAGCATCATGTACAAATTCAGAAACCGAACCAGTAAACTTGAACAACTCTTTTTTATTATAAGAACTTGTTTCTCTTTACTATTACAAATCTCTCTCTCTCTCTCTCTCTCTCTCTCTCTCTCTCTCTCTCTCTCTCTCTCTCTCTCTCTCTCTCTCTCTCTCTCTCTCTCTCGATCTCTCGAACTTACAAGAAAATTGTCACTACATCAATCTTCTAATCTACACTCAATCTATATTGATAACCAAGTTAATTAGCAAATCTAAGCCTAAGAGAGAATAAGCAAGAACGAGATGGGTGAATTAGGGTTTCGTTGAGTAGAGAACACAACACTTTATCAAAGAAGAGACACGTCACACTAAAACCCTAAAAATTACAAAAAATAATGAACCAAAAACATCATATAGGTTTCGGTATTTTATCATTGGCCCTTCAAGATTTCCAAAATGCTCTGTTGCCCTTCTATATCCAACTTCTTTTCACTTTGAGCCCTTCTACAACGCATAACAGCAAGTCACCCAATTTTCTATAAGTAACTTCTACAAAACAATAACACCAATATATCCATAGTTTTCCATAACACCAATATAAGTAACAAATACTGCTTAATAACTCCAAGATATGTATGTTTTATGACAAAATGTTAGTTTCCAACAAAAATTTGATGTGATAATATATTAGACACGTTACCACTCGTCATAGCCCTAAAGGTCATAGCAAATTAAATTAGGCATTCTTAAACAATATCTGAATATCGAAATAATAGTCTAGTCTTATAACTCATAGGGACTGAAATGTACATTTTGAAAGTTCAGTACCAAAACAAAACTTCGTTTCCCCATTTCATTTTCTGATTTGGGTTTTTTTTAGTTGAATGTTCTCCGACGAGAGCTCTGTTTGCTGCTATGGAAATGGTGGAAGAAGGACAAAAACAACCAAAAATTTCCCAAAAAAGGATAGAGCTTGAAGATATCGTTGAAGAAGGGGGAGAAGATCGAATCAGTGCGTTGCAAGATTGCTTGCTTCTTGAAATCCTCTCTCGTTTGCCCTCAACAGAAGGTGCCATTAGAACAAGTACACTCTCCAAACGATGGGAACATCTTTGGACTTCGCTACCTAATCTCAGATTCAGATATTATGATGATAATCGGCCGCTGTCAGATTTTGTTTCGTTCGTCGACAAAACCCTATCTCAGTGTCGCCACTTGAAGCTCAAGAGGTTTGGACTGATTACCAATTATGATATTCAATTTGAATCTCAATTCAACAATTGGATTCGTTATGCTATAACTTGTAATGTTGAAGTGTTTAGATTATATGTTCGGCGTACGGATTCCGAAGTTAAGTTGTTTGATCAAAACTTTTTCACCAGTTCATTTCTTACCGAGTTGAGATTGTGGAATTGCATGTATGATCCAACTGAGGCGATTAGTTGGAAAAATCTTAGGTATTTACGTATTGGGTATGCGAGATTAGATGAAGATTTGATTGAGAACATATTATCCGGAAGCCCTGAATTGGAAACTTTCGTATTGGAGGATTGCTATGGTTTCAGTTTCCTTGATATTACTTCAAAAAGCGTTAACTTGGTGTTAACTGGATATCGGAATTCTAAGCCTGAATATGCTGGAGTTGGCGATGTTATCAAAATCAACGCTCCAAATATTTTATCACTAACAATTGATGATTGTTTGGAGATGCGGAAGCTTTTGTTGTTAAATGTGGCTTCTTTAGTTGAAGCTAATTTAGATTATGTCTTTATCACTTATTTAAATCCAATACCTAAAAAAGTGAAAGCTGAGATGCTTAAAGAGATCATAACAAACCTTCATTATGTCAAGGAGCTTAACATTGGTATGGACTGTTATAAGGTAAAAAATTCTTTTGCTTTGACATTTTATGTTTTTTTTTAAAATTATAAAATCACAGGGTTCTCATTTTTGTTATGGTTGTGGTTGTAGCTTCTTAATCGGTTGAAAGCTAAAGGTTTCACTATCCCATCAAATATCAAGTTTCTACCTTCTGCTTATCATTGGTCTGATAGATACGGTTGAAAGCGAAGATTAGTGATACTTTGAATTTATGTTTATTAGGTATTTTCATACTTTTTCTGTTTGTTTTTTCGAGGTTTACTTGTTTTGATTAAGTCATCTTTTTGTGTTGATTAAGTCATCTTTTTAGTTTTTAGCTAGTTGTTACTCTAAAGCATGTATTGTAGTTTAGAGGCTTAGTTTTTTGTTTGTAATCTCTATACTTGTTTGAGTTATCCGAATTTTGTAGAGCAAAATGGAAAAATGTTGTGTGGTATGCTCATCTCTTGACCAATTTGAACCTATTGTTATATACTCGTAAGAGTTTTGGAGTTTGATGTTTTCTAACCTTTGTGAAGTTGAAAAAGTTGTTAAATTCATATCAAATATCAATAAACTATCTCTTGGGTAGCTTAATGTTGAAAAGATTTGGAATAAAACATTCCAAAGAAGTTGCATTAGCTTCTATTCTTAATTATATCTTCTACTCCTTTAACTATTTGGTGGCCATTTGGCAAAGTTTGGGATGGATTTTTTGGTCCAAATTATTTGCAAGGTATTGTGTTGGTCCAAAGTTTTCTATAGAAACATAATCATTACTAAAACCATTGGTTTCATTTATATTAGGAAAATCACCAAACAAGATAATTGCTTCAAAACTACAATTATTACCTAAAACAAAAGAAAATTATATATATATATATATATATATATATATATATATATATATATATAATATATATATATATATATATATATATATATTTCATCACCGGTGAGTCCTTTAAGTTTATTTTAACAAGGGTTCTAGCAATTTAATTTTTATTTATTATGGGTTTTATGTAAAGTCAAACTTTTGAGGATTGTTAGCCACACATAATTAATGGTTTATTCATTGTTGCGGGTTTTAGCAAGTTTTACGATAGTTAGGGGCTGTTTGACAACATTTGAATTTTTAAGATCTAAAATTTAAAATTTTAAGAGGTTTAGATTTTTTAGAGGGTTTAAATCTTTAAAATCTCAATTTTTAACACGTTTGGTTGGAACCTTTGAATTACAATGTTGTTGAATAATAAATATGACAATTTTATTATTATTTCTTTCAATTACAACATCAAACCTTTGAAAAAACTCCATCAAAGTAGGATGCTAAAAATAAACATCATACCTTTGAAATCTTTTTTTTCGCTTCAAAGTAGGATGCTAAATATAAAAATTACACCCGATTATTACAAAAAAATACAATGCAAACAAAACAACCTAATATTGCATTACAACTATAGGCCAATATTTTGGTCAATGCCACACCCCATTCAAGGTTTACATGGAATAATGTATACAATCATTTTGGTTTTTAAACATTTAAGGGAGAATTTATGTTCCATCGACGACTTTGAAGGAGCCGGAGGGCTTTGTTGTTGGTGACAATGGCAGAGATGACGTCGTCGATGGAGGCAGAGGGGATTGCTAGTTGCAGATCGGAGATGTGATGGGAAGAGCAAGAGGTATCGTGTGAAGTAGAAAGAGAAGACGGAAAGTGGGAGTGGGCAAAAACAGTAAACACATTTTTTTAAATTCAAACTTGTTCCCGTCTCTGAAAATTTAAGAGGTATTTAATCAATTAAGATGCATAATTTTATATGCTACTAAACACTTTTAATCTGAAAATTAAGAATTTGCCTCTTAAATTTTCTAAAGGGATATCAAACAGTCTCTTAGCAAAGATAATAAAAGTTTAGGCTTTATATAAAATCTTGATAGTTTTGGGATGCGACAATATGATGACAACTCATATAATGTCTATATTTGAGAGAAGACAATTCAGAAACTATCGGTGGAGTGTTTATCTAAATAATGATTAATCATAAGATATAAGCATTATGCAAAAAGATATGTAACAAATCATAATTCTTTATAAGAACAACGTAGATAATGAAAACAAAGAAATCATGTTTGGAATCTTAACAAATGAATGTCCAACACTTCTCTATTATTGTAGGAGGGAAAATAGGGGGGGGGGGGGTATTAGAGGGGATTGGTGCGTTCTTGAGTTTTTTTGGAGGGTGAGTGAAGGAAAGGTTTAGGAGGGAAAGGAAATGAAGGAATTAACATGATTTGTATCCACCAAGTTGTGGGCGAATTGTGAGGGAAAGCAAAAAAATGACAAATTTTACCTTTGCTTCATCGTCATTCTCCTGCAACTTCACACCATTGATTCTTCATCTTCATTCTTACAGCTTCTTCCTTCTTAATGTATCTTCTTCTTCTTCACTCTCAGAGATCATGTGCTCTCTCTCTCTCACTCTCTCTCTCTTTCTCTCTCTCTCTCTCACACACACATCATCTTCACTTCTCCCCTATCCTTACCACCGTCATCTTCTCCATCTGATGAACCCTAACCAAAGGTAAAAACATCATTTGACAATGAAGTTTCTTTCCCTCCCCTTAATGTCGAGAACACATTTATCACCCCCCCCCCCCCCCGGTTCTCCTTCCATCTCCTTTCCTTTCTTTCCCCACCCTACCATCTCCCCCTTTAATTTTTAATCTCGAGAACATGGTGTAAACTCAAAAGAATACAAGACCATATGAATTAAAAAAATACTAAAGTTCTTTGCTTTTAGAGCCATCTTTTTCACATGATACAACTGAGAGAAAAAAAATTGTAAAGTTTTATACAATTATTAGTAAAAAACTGTAGTTAATAACCATCTTTAAATCTTTTTTTTTTTTTAATATGTACAATCATAAGTTAACTCTCTAATTCAAAAAATATATAACCATTTATAAATTGTGCATTTATTTATAACTTCTTCATTATTGGATCAAAAAGTTGTAA